TAAAATCAGAAAATAATTGCTGTTATAATTTTTGGGATGGGCTGGCGGTGGGGGCAGGAGTTTAGTTCGATTAAACACGTAAATTAATTTATAAAAATAAAACAAGTTGTCGATAATAAAGCAACAGGACGGTCTTTTTAGTATTGTTACAGTATATTTGATCAATATCCCCTGCAAATTATATTTCTTAACATGCATTTTGAGTCAATATTCTTTTGTAACGATGTTTGATTTATTAAAACTGATGTTTGCCTTATTCAGCTTTGAGGTCGCCTTGATTAGTTTATAGCAGAATTAGTTCCATGAATAATTGACCAGACAAACACTCTTATACTGTGTACAAATTATACTTCATTCGACCATTGGGATTATTTTCACCGGAGCTTGTAAACAAATTAACTGAAATATTTATGCAACCAGGTTGTAATCTCATCGCGGAAATTCAATATCTACCAACTATTGCACGCTGTTACACCATTGTTTATGTTTCACCATTGTTCTTACTCTTTCTCCATGCTCCGCTGTACCTTGTATGTAATACCCAGAGTTGTCGTTCGTGAATTTCGCCGTGTTGTGTTGTAATCAAGAATATAGTTCGTGTATCTTTTTTTTTTAATTTAAAACACAAATCTTTATTTAAAGCCATCACGTAAATGTCTTATGTGAAACTGCTTATGTTGCATTTCCAGACTCGTGTATTTCCTCTTGGCGGACTTTTACTTTCTCTTGCCAGCCCAGTGTGCACTTCCTCTTGGCAGTGTTTTATATTTCTCTCTTGACAATCTTGTGTACTTCTTAGCCTATGTCTTTTGTACTTCTTAGCATATATGTACTTGATTTTTCCAATCTTTAGGTCTTTGCGTTTGCGCACTTGTGTTCTCTCTTTTTCACTTCTGGTAGACTTGTGTACGTATTTGTTTTTATGTAAAACCCAGGAAGAAAAGTAAACGAAACCTATGATAATCGAAATGAAAATAGTTTGACATAACAAAAGTCAGAGGAATTTATGATGATTTATCTGTAAGTCATTACTAATACAAGTGAATCCAAGTATGCAATAAGGATGCAGGATTTTTTTGCATTACATCCAAAATAAATCTGTTTTAAGTCTTTGAAGATAATGATTTGATTTTGCTTTCAATTACGAATAATTTACATTTAATGTTGTCTAAATTGCTTTTATTTTTACATGCCGACTTGTAATTTACCAAAGACGTCTGTGCTACTATGCTTTCAAAAATACAGTGTCGAAGATTCTTTTAACTCTTATCTTGTTGAACTTCTTAAATGGACTTGTCCAGCTTACATTTTGGAATTATCCATTATCAAATTTTGGTATAAATTTTTCACTATAAAGTACATGTATATTTGTCAAGGTTACAGAGCCTGGTGGTCGGAGTGCACCGGCGTCGCAAACAGACCTTGCTCTATACTGGTGGCAATGGCTAGTCGCATTTTGTTCCAGTATGGAGTGAGTTTCTACAAAATCATATCCTCATGTAAAATAAAATATTGGTAATAATAAACAGTTGCCGAGCAGATTATAACTTGTGCACGTGACATTTACGACGCATAAGTCTGAAAACAACATATTTATTCAAATGGGTTTTAATTTAGGAAACTTTCAACTTGTAACTTGATACAATAATTATACACATTTGCCATAAATTTTTAACAAATTTTCAGTTATTGCAGCAATGTAAACTGTGCCCCAACAATGTCTATTTCCCACAATACATTTTGTAATGAATTACCCATTGAAATTTTAATGTTTACGATATCAGATTTCAGGTTTTCTCCTGGACTTTTTTACATTTGAAACGTTTACAAAAGCAAATATAGAATTGATTCTGTATGTTTCCGGTTTATTTTAAGGTTTGGAGTTGTATATGTTAGTAAAATATGTTTACCTTCTTTTTCGGTCGACCAATACTTGATAGTATTGTTTATTCACTTTGGGCTTAAATAATCACGAAATTCAATAAAAACTATTTTATCTTCGTTTAAAGGATTCAACTCACTTATCACCGATGTTATTCCGTTAGAATACAACATGTCTCCACCGTTAATGTAAGAGGGGAAGTTGTCATTTGATAATTCAAAGCCTGTATTTTTTTTACATACATGTATTGGGACTGACCTTATTACACAATGGACATTAACGACATGCAATAATACATCAGTGAGCTCGCGCAATAATGTATCTCTCAAACTTGTCGTCTGTTACTATACATTGTAGTATTTTATCATTTTGGTTCATATTAAAATGTTTATCAAAATAATGGATACAATTTTCATTTTTTGTCTGATATAACATCAAAGACATTTTAGTAATTTAGCATGCCATGTTTTACATATCATGACCAAGCACCACCCACAAAGTTAATTTAGTGAACTCATAGGCACCAAGGTATGTCTCAGACATTTCGTTTATTATCATAAATTATTTAACTGTTTATGAAAATAATGAAAAGAATGTTCATTTTCCCCTCTGATATAACATCGAAGACATTTTAGTTATTTTTTGTTTGTGTCAAGATTTTACTTGCAATCGGATATGTTTTACTTTCGGCTGCTGTCGTTAAATCGGTAATAAAATATGCTTATAGCTGTATCAGCTTTGTTTATTTTCGCATTAATTTAGAAATCCATACGTGGTATTTACCTCATGTACGATGGGGTATTAATTTAAAAACCTCGTTTCGTCAGCCGAGGTTATTGGTAAATTTACAAAAATTTACGACATTTTACGACCACTTGTTACCATAATGACGGTATAATCTCGATTACAAAGGGTTCATAGTCTCGAATACAAAGGCTTATCCGCCTGAATCAGCACTACAAATGAACTTTTTACATTTTGTATAAGTTGGCATGACAACTGTTTAAATATAATTGTATAGAAAAGATATAGTTTTTTGGGATTATTTTTTTTTTGTGTTTGCGGAGTATTGAAAATGTTTGTGAAATATAGAAACGTTTATTGTTGTTCAATATAACATGGATTTTAAAATATTCTAAATTTAAAACATAAATTTTGTTACAATTAAATTTTGATAATATTTTAAAGGGGAAAATATATATGTTTTATGGAGTGACACTATTTTTGGATTGCTTTCTTCTTACTTACATAAGGATCACACTGTGCATGAAATTAATGTTTCAATAATATCGATAACAACGCGCGTGGGACCGTGGGGCTTTTCTTTGTGTGGGCGATCTGTAGAGTAATCGGATGGTCAAATTCGGATAAAAGGGGACATGTGTCGCATATAATCGAGCTATTTATGGGAAACCACTCCCTTTTTCATTACACTCGGCAGGAGTGCATTTGCGATTTTAATGCTGAAATCAAAATATAATTGTCGAATAAAATGTGACGAATCAGCTTAAGATCTTTAAAATTATAAAAAAAATGGAATAACTGATGAAAAGTTGGTGCGTTAGAATATTTTATGTCAGAATGCACTTTTATCATAAACCACATTCATTTGAGCCGCGTCACGACAAAACCAACATAGTGCATGGATCCAGACCAGCCTGCACATCCGCGCAGTCTGATCAGGATCCATGCTGTTCGCTATCACGTTCTCTACTTGTTATAGGGTCTGTAAGCGAACAGCATGGATCCTGATCAGACTGCGCGGGTGCGCAGGCTGGTCTGGATCCATGCTGGTCGCAAACCCATTATGTTGGTTTTGTCGTGACGCGGCTCATTTATTTCTTTTTTATTAGAAGGACTCCGCATAAATTTTCGATAAAAATGATCAATGGTTTTAATTTTACACAAAATATGTTGTTTTTTTACTGCCTTACATTAATAATAATATTTTTTCCATGATATGCAATAAATATGTTATTTAAAGTTATTATATATACTCTAAATCGATGAGGCGATATAAAGATGTAATAAAATTTTGAAAATAGTAATTTTGTGTTGCATAAAGATGGTAATGCATGGTTACATAAACGTACATTTAATAAAATCCACTTTATTCGGTAGATATGATAGTGCAAAAATGTAATTTGATAATAATGATGATGATGATGATAATGATGATGATGATGGTGATGATGTTGACGATGAACATGGTGATATGACGTTAAGCGTAGATTTTAATTAGAGGGTTTGACATTTTTTCACACGGTTCTTCATAGAGGCGTAGCAGGGAAGAAAGAGTGATTTTCAGCTTCATTCCGGTGATACAAAAAGACTTGCCAAAATGATATATACCTGTGAACTATAAATTATCAGTGCTTTTGTGGGGAAAGTGAAAGTTGCCATGTAATGTGAAACTTGCTACTTATCTATTCAATATTCATGTAAATTGGAATATTTGTTGGCAACCTTTAATAAAGGTATGGATGGAATAAATGGAAAAGGCGCTCCGCCGCTAAACTATATATGGACACTTAATAATTAATTTCGCCAGGGGCTTGGGAGATAGTATTAGTTCAACAAATTTATGATGTATGAAAAATTTCTTAAAAGCTGTAAGATGAAAATCTAACAGTGCTCTAACAGTGAAAGATTCGTTTTGTCGATAATTATTTGCTTTAGATACACCGAGGCGTTGTGTATTTGTGTTTGTTTTGTAAATTAAACATTTATGATGTTAGCCCATTTAATTTAATGAGTAACTGAACAAGATTTGGTTGATAGTTCAACTAGACGAAAAATAATTGAACGTAATGATATCTAAGTATTACACAGAGGCGTAGCCGTCCGTCTTTGCAATGTGAAAAATGGATAACTTTTTAAATTTTGTAAAGAAACGCGTCGAGTTAAATTAGCGGAAAGTTAAAACATCAAATTATTCGAGTTATCGTCGTTATTGATTTTTCAATACTAAGGAATGGTATTATATAGGTACTGAGTATTAAAGTAGCATAAGCTTATTGCGAGTTGTTATCATGAAATGATAACGCGGGGGACGGGGCAATCACCGTCCCATATCTTGTCTATATACGCACCTGTAGATTATGATTAGAGATACTGCAAATATACTGTCTTGCTTTACTGCACTGCGAATGTTGCATGACGGTGGGACGCGTTTTTATTTATCATGTTAGAAACATTCTGAAAGAAAAAAAATATATATCCGAACGTTGATACAGCTTACATTGTGTCGCGGATTAATCAGTTGTTTTCATCATAATGGATATGTTTTGTTTCGAAGCGAATTGTTTCAGAATTTTTGTTTTGCGTGTTGTTGTACATTTTCGCTACAGCTGTTTGGGTTTTCATTAGTCTTAGTCGTAAAAGTCCCACTTTATTCCGGACATAAGAAATTAATCACCCGATCAGGCTCGCACAGTGTGTCATTATTTGTAAGGATAATAAATTGTGATCGTTTTAAAACAGTGATATACTGGATACCTAGTTTGAATCTCGTGTATATAAAATAAGCTTCATTAAGTATTTAAGGCATGTCAGTTAGATAATTTCGATTTTTCTCTTTTAAATGTGCATTGTAAATATTATATCAAGTGAATATAATTGTTTCATCGGAAAAATGAAGTTGAATTTATTATTATAGATATATAATTTTTCAGTGAAAAAAGTGTACGTTAAAGGAATTATATTTGGATAATATTAAAACTATAGTTCAGTGAAGGATTATATATTTAGTGTGGTAGTGGATAAAGCCGACCAAAATTGGAAATTAACTTAGAGTCTTATTCTATATTTTATTATTTTCTGTTAACAAATGAATGTGGATTTTACAGAAATGCCCAAAGTAGACAACAGTCTAAACCGGACATTGTGGCCTCTTGTAACGGTAAGTTAGGACAGTAAAGTGCCTTTTTTCCTGTATCTTTAACGTCAAACCCGAGTTCGAATCTTACTTTTGAACTTTTTCCCTTTTTTTCTTCTTCTTTTTTCTATATTTTTTTAGAAGGAACTGTATAATTTTTGTCGAGGTAGATATTACGTATTTTGGATTATTATATGATTTATTATATTTTTAAAGTCATATCTTTTACTTTAAGTATGTTTTGCCTAACCCGAACATTTTGTTTTTAGTATATCTTTTAATTGGGAACATACTTGATGATATGATAGATTTAAATAAAAAAATGTGTTAATTATGTGTGATTTTGTAATATCAAATTATTGTTAAAATATGTCAATGTAATTACATTCAATTAGGGGTAGAAATATCCAAAATATATTAAGAAAAATTGTCAAAAATGAACTTCAATTTTTTCACAAATTTTATTAAATTATGTTGGAAAAAAAATGCTCTTCTGTTCAGTTCAGTTCTGTTCTGCTGTGTTTTTGGTCTTTTCTTTGTTAAGTCATTAAAATACACAATATAATGACAAAGTAGGAGTATTTATCGATTTGAATATTCACCATTGTGCTTCCATGTTTGATTTTCACTCATGTAAAAAAATGAGGTCGGACAATTTGACATTTAAGTAGCTGGCATTTAAGAGTTTTATTTGTTTTCATTTATAGAGTGTTTATAACTTCATAGAAACTGGTATCATCTGCCAGATATTACAGAATTAATTTCCGTACTCGCATGTTTTCCTTTGCTACTGCGAATCAATACCACCGCCATCATTGTTAAAATACATAGAGAGAGGGAAAAAGAGAGAAAGACTTGGAAAATATCGCAGTGTTTTCTGTTTTCACTCGTACGTACTGTTAACTGTGTCGTGTTGGGTTCGTTTTAGATCAATATTGCTACAGAATTTCTATTGTCATTATACGTTATATTTATGAAATATGCATAATAATTAAAGGAAAGGTGTCTGTAATTCGCCAGACCCTGGCGTCTGGGATATTGTACGAATTGGATTAATATGCTAAATATTCAATGTACTAACAATTTAGATTCGGAGAATTTAGAATCGGGAGATACATGTAGTTATGAAAAACGGTGTAGTTGTAAGAAAGACTGGAGTGTGGTGATTTATTCAAGGAAAGCTCAAGTATTTTGTTAGGATTTACAAGTAACAATCGGCGTCATGGGTTCTTCATTTTATTCACCAGAAAACGGAGTGGTAAATTGTTAATTTATGTTCTTTTCTCGTGCAGTTTGGTCTTATTAAGGAAACACTAAGGCATTTTAAAGTCTGTTTCTATTTTTGTTTTCAAATGTTGTTGTTGTTGTAATTGATTGAATTGGTGCAGTGCGTGAGTTTTCATGTACATGTATGTTAAATTGCAGACGTGATGATTCTGTAAACGTGTATTGTATACACAACTTCTCCACATATATCATATACTAGTAGACAACTTCCACGCATAAAGTAACAATATAATAACCGGTAGAGACAATCTCTCTTAATTGTACAAGGGTCTTTTGATAGACCCTCTTTGTACATGTTTCAAATTGCGTCATTGGAAGGATACATTTTAATGGATAGGATAAATAATTAGGTATGAGTCGATTTGTTTGAAAATTAAGGGAGAATGGTTCCACCAATTTCCTAAAGAATGGTCAAGTCACGCACATTGTCTCAGTAATGTGTACACGTCTGCTTTTTCTACATCTGTAATATCTAAAACTATAAATATGCCATGTTCGTTATTAATTATATGAGCCTCATAAAAGCGGGAACCAATTAATGAAAGGAACCATCCCTTGTGAAACCGGAAACGGCAGTTTTCTAACGAGCAAAGGCACATAATTCCAATTATTTGAAAAAATATACTTATTTAACTCGGTAAATAACATTCATTTTGATAACAGGTGTCCCTTAAGGTAGTTTTTTTTCTTGAACTATGGTACGTCTTGTCATTTCAAGCAAGCAAATCCCTTTTAATGTAGTTACATCGGACTTAACACGTGTTTTCAAGCCAAAAGGTGAAGTTCTTTGCACTTTCCAGAACGTATAATGCAGCTCTTTACCTACAATCATTTCATCTTTAGTGTTGTTTGCATCAGATGAGACTTGCTTTCTTCATTTAAAACAATAGAATAATAAAACCAACTGTTATTACTCGGAATGCCACATCCGGGCATCGAACCGGCTACGTTACACGTTCGAACATACAGTTTATTCAACTTTATTGTAGCAGGTGTCTTACAATCACATCAGCCTGATTGTCTCATACTAGTATATATTTTGGCACCAGTCTAAAATTGGTATCAAGGTGAACCATTCTATTCATCTGGCATGCAGACGGTCTGGTTTAGATTTAGGCGGTGACAACTCAGTTTATTCCATGTCAATTTATTCCATGTCATAACAATATCAAAACTTGCCAGCTATTTACTGCAGTTATCTAGGTTTTTGTGAATGTATTTATTGCCAAATAATAAGTTGGGAAATAACAAACATGTGAAGAATTCGTCAAGTGGTTTTCTCAAGTTTGCAGTCTGATAGAGGAGTGAGATTACAATCAAGGTCACCATAAAAGTTATTGCATATGTTATACATGTATATATTGTTTAAGTTTGTCTTATTTCACCCTTTCTTGTCACAGAATTCTCACTTCTTTCTGTTGAAAAAAAAACAGCATTGAATTGTCCAGTTTTAAAAATGATATTACACAAAATATGTGAAGCTGAAAAAAATCTTTCTTTTGAGAACATTTATAACTTTAATATTTGGACGAAAATTCAGTATAAAATAGCTGTTAAAATTTTCATATTGTGATGCTCAAACATAACTTTTTAGGTTAAAGAAATGTTGTTAAAGAAAGGATCACAATATGGATTATACTTGTCAAGTTTTTTGAAACTTTAGAAGGATTCGAATATTTCATGTGGCTATCTTTACATCTAAGTCTGACTAATAGCCGTCCAATCCCTTGTGAAAGACCGTGTTTTTCTTCTTGTTCAGTCTAACCTTTTAATGCCGGGTTACTTATTGTTCAAATGTTGATCTAGTAAACAAAATGTTTCACCCGACAGTCTTCTAAATACTTTAGTCATAAGTACCCCTCTCTTAAAAATAACCCACATTTGGCGAAGCGCGGAAGAAAAAGATTTTGTGAAATGTAATTTTCTAAAGGTAGATAAACTTTAATGCGAAATTTGGTACAAACTTAGACTCGCGGATTGAAATATAACGATTGAATAGTTAGAATAATTGTATCCTGGGGGAATTTAAGTGTATAAATTAATGAATACGAATAAACCAGGCTCTTGAATCCGTTCATAGACGAGAGAAATTGCATGTTACATTAATCTTTTGGGTTTTAAATTTCTTTTCCAAAGTATATAGTTTAGGTATTTCATGGGGATGAAAATGTGCAATTAAGATTTAAATATGTTGTATGTTTTTTTTGGCTGGGAACATTAAAATCGAAACCGACGCAAGTTGAGCTCTATGTGAATGTGTGAAAGATGTCGGGTTTTAAAAGTAGTTGAATTATTGATCATACATACTTGACTAGTCTCTCTAAAAGATATCCCTGTAGACTTAAAATTGTCAATTTCCCGGCTCACTCCCGATCAATTTTCCTCCATGTATGATGAAGTGCCCGTTCATATTTTAATTGATTGAAATGTTCTACTTAGAATTAAACTCCATGTGTTAAACTATCTTGATTCATATCTGATATTTAAGGGGATCATTGATATAGTGGTTCAGGCGTCTGCCTCTCAAACCAGGGATCATAGGTTCGGGCCCTACTCGGGTCACGACCATGTTTCTTCATATGACACCAGTACTGGTTGATTTCAAGAAGCGAATTCGAAAGTGATTACTAAAGTAATATAAAAATCTGGAAACAAAGTCATCCCTCGGAAGCATTAATCACAACAAAATTACAAGAGAATTGCAGACTCGGTTTGATTGAGTCTGTACATGAGGGATAATGAATATGTGCAACATCCCTCACGTCCCCTAGCACCGGCTTGAGCGGTACTCAATAAGTTGCAAGAACTTATTTCACAATCGAGCTTAAATGTTTAAACTAAACAAAACATAAGAAAGCTAAGTGAAAATATGATTTCTGACCTTTACATTTTGCCTTTACCATACACAGACAATGTTTATAACTTTTCACATTTTGATTTTGTGCGACTTTAAATGTTTCCGAGAACGTTCTTATTTGACGATTTCGTACAACGTTTTGATGTTGGATGTAATTCAATTGAAATTCCATTCTTTCGGGTCGGCATTGGTTAACCTTTTTGTTTGACCAATTTATGTTTTTGCCTTTACATTTATAAGTGACCTTGAACTTTGACCTTTTGGTCTGAAAATGGGATGTATACTTCTCTGCACATGTTTAATGTATTTTATTTATTTATTTTCAGATGTCGTCTGCAACTGGCATAAAATGTTACAAGAAGCTGGATTATTGTCCGAAAGGTTAGTAAATGTTTTAGATTAGACAGTTTTCTTTTACATGATTACGGCCCCTTATACATGTTTGTACCTCATTTCTTCCCTGAACCGTCAGAAAAGATTTTTAAAAAGATTTTTTGTGCCTTTTTTAAAAAGGTGTAAAGTATTGATTTAGATTTATAGAGCCTGATTTTCCAATGATGTTCCACTGATGTTCCAATCCTATTCCAATGGTTAGTTTAAATGCTTCATTTTGAAACATGTAGCAGGCTACTCTTACTAAAATCAGAGACAAAAACATTTTAACATTTTTGTCAATCGATATGTACATAATTGAATTGGTGATTTTATGCTTAATTTGTTATAAGGTACACCTTAAAATTCTACGACACCTTTTCCAATGGGGAATCTACGCCCCCGATAACTATCTCTGTCAATTCAAGTTAGGTATTGTCTAATTTATTGTTGAAGGTAAGAAGGTCCGCAAGATCAATGCCCTTTCGTCCAAAGCGAAATTACAGCTGAAAGAATTTAGTATTGAACATTTGAACTTTAGTTCTAAAATTTAACCTTGAATTTGAAAGTGCTGGTGCTTATTTCAGAGTGTGGCACGTATTAAATCTTATACCTAAAACGAAGGGCGTGATGTGACGTTTTTACGCTAAGAAAATTGAAAAAGCGAGATCTTTCAAAAATTTATTTACATTTTGAACGCTTCGGATTTTTTTTTGTAATTTAAAAACCTTAGACTCATCAACGAAGTCTTTAATGTGTTTGAAAGTGCTTATGATATAAAAGTACATGTATACCTTCTTAGAACTTCATATGAGTTTTGCTGCTTTTGTTTCCAATTGATAAACAGTTGTTGTTTACAAGCATTAACTAAACGAGCATTTTTCATTTGTAAATACGTAACAGAGAAACGTTTTAAGCCGTTAAGTACAAAACTTCAAAAACATTAACATAGCTTTTAAAACTGAAGATGTATTTAATGAGTAGAAATTAAAGTCAATTGATGAAATACGGAAATGATATATGATAGAGACTCTTTCAAGATATTCTTGTACGTTTTTATTATTCCTAGATGTTGTATCACCAGTGAAATATAGGATTGTTGGAATGAAATATAAAAGCAACAGATGTAATCAAATGTTTAAGTGGCCATGATATCATGATATCACCACTGGAATAACGGAACGATTTTTGAAGAGGGTATTTTTGTTAATGGTTTTCTCTTCTTGAATAATCTCGGATAAATTTAACTCCCTGGAAGTGATCTCACAAGAAAGTAGCATTCGTGTCGATAAAATACATTTGGCCAGGAACCCACTTCAGAAAAAACGTTTCTTGTGAGCATGAACGCTTAAAGAACGTGTTAAAACGAAATTAAAATACAATCCCTTTAACACATCTTCGTTGCTAAGACCAGACATTTTTGTCTTTTTACGAGAAATAAATGAGAATGTGGGATAATTTTTTTTTTTTCGTAAAACTTAAAACGAATCTGTTAAAACTATATTTCGCCATTTTAAATTGGAAGTCTGTGATCGAGATAAGATATTTGGAAAGTTGCGGATTATTTATTTAAACAAAATCGATATGAATTTTCCCAGTCTGGGTATGACATTTTAAATAAATTTTCTAGAAAAGAAAACTGTTAAAAGAGATTGAAGTCTAGAGAAACGGTGCAGATATATGGGAAAATCTATTCTTGTGAGAAATTATGCATAAAATCTGAAATGAAAAATGTCTTGAAAATGTATGTACATCTATTTAAGCCTGCATGTCAGGCATTAAGTTTGAAATTCGGTGATTTTACTCGAGTATTCAGCATTTTTTGTTTCCAATTAAATATTTTATAAGAATATCTAAGTATACATTCCTATTGCTTTATGAAAATTCAAAATACTTAAGGAAAATGTGCCGTATTGATATTGCAAATATGTTCACATTAGTAACTGTAAAGGGGTAAATTGCAACAGTTTTAAACGAATAACAGACGATTTTCTTCAATAAAGAAAAAGGGAGACAATCTTACTGCATTGATATATGACAGTAAAAGGGAGGCAACTTTACTTTAAGCAAACGGCATCTACATGCAGGTCATGAATACTGCACAAGTATTTATTTTTAAACCGAAAAAAATATTTAAACGCTTTTTTCTGTTTCATTTATTTGAGAAGAAATGTTGTCTGGCAGCTGCTGGCGTTTTTTTTTACCTTATCTAGATAATTTTGTTACGCATATGCGAAAGTCCGAACATTTCATTTGTAAATTGATCGGGTAGAATTCTTTTTTTTTTGAAAGGTATAACGTTGTATCTTATCAACAAAACGCTCAGATTTCGACATGAAAACATTTTTTGTAGCAACACCAGTTGCAAAGGGCGGAAGTCTCTGATATTATCGCAGATAACAAACTTTCCTTAGGGCCTTCAACTGCCATCTATATGATGTTGGCCAAACTGCAGATAGTACATATTTAACGCCCTTTGGGTATTTTTGACACCTGTGCATGATCAGAAATAATTTTCTAGTCATAATTCTGTGATAAAATCCATATATTAACTGAAAAAAGTAAATCTCACGTTTTACAGAAATTACGATACGCCGCCACACATTGTACATTTTCTCGATTTTCTCGATCAATTTCGCATAATGTTACATTGTAATCCCGCAATTAAATAGATATACATCACATAACAAGATAAGCCTTTACGCCTAGTGAGCAATTAATCAAATTTGCATTGATTTATTGCAGAAATAAAGGCAGACGAGTGCCGTCAAGACAAAAGGGACGCGTACCATCGGTTTTGTATTTGGTAGTTTGGTGTTTATTAATCGAACGTGATCGGCAGACAATTTAATCATTTTTTTTTAAATTTGCTTGATCAGAAATTAAGGTTTTCTCAAAACATATTGTAAAAATTCAAATAATTTCGTCCATAGTTTCCGTAGGAAATGTTCGTTAATCACGTGACTTTCTTACGATAAAATTGTAGGGTAGGGAAATATTACTGCTACCGGAAGTTGTTGCTCACGTACGGGAACTTTTGCTTTGTTGGTTCCAAGGACGAACTTGTCCTTGCTGTTTTGGAGGCAAATGTGAAAGCTATTAACTTTAACACTTTTTAAGTTTGTTCAACTTAGTATACAACACATTATCGTTATATTGTTTCAGTTCGTTTTATGTTCCGCTATAATGAAACCCGGTTCTGAAGGTCAGACGCATCTAGGGAATTTAATGAATACACTTTTTTAATTATTCAATTCTTTTGAGGCTGAACGGATATGTTCTGTGACCGAACTGCGGAACAATCTGCAGAAGAAATAATAGAGAACTATTTTCAGACTGTTAACATGACTGATTGGAGACGTAATGAGGTTTTAATATGAGGACTGTCTGCAATGAAACACATTCTGATTAACGGCATAGCTTTTTTCTTTTTCTTTTTTGTATGACATATTTTGAATGATTCCGTTCGAATCTTAAACGTGTTTCTTACTTTTTTTATTTTAAAGACTATGCAAAGTTAACCGTCTGGTAATTATTCTTTTTTCATTGTACATCAAGTCTAGTTGTGCATATTATCGGTATTTTTAAGGTTCAATGCTTTTTTCTTGTTTTTGAGTTATGGTCCTTTAATTATTTTTATTGTTTGTCTGGACTTCTTCTCTTATACAACTAATGCATTTTCAATGAAACTGAACAGGATTGATTGGTAGCTAAAGTACTTGCACATATTACACGTGATGTTTGCCCGAGTTATGGCCTTTAAAAGAGGTAAAGTTTGTCCAGACTGCATGAATTTCTCATTAACTACTGGTGCAATATCATCCAAACTTTACTGGAATGATTAGTACTTAGTCTTTTTGTCCATAAAATTGGTATGTATTTAAAGGTTCAATATTTTTTGTCGGAGTTATGGCCCTTGAATAATTTTTATTTTTTGAAGTTTTGTTCGGACTACTTCTTTTATACAACTAATGAAATTTAAATGAAACTTAGCAAGATTGATAGGTACAGCAAGTACTTGCATATATAAAACGGGGTTTCCAGTTGAATAGTTTTTGGCTGAGTTATAGCCCTTAAATGGCATGTTACTGATTTTGTGTCTTCTTCTACACATGCAAATGGCTATCATGAGGCGGCACATGTGATCCCTGATCGCTCTTCTTTTTTACCATGACACATGTACATTAGGCAAATGTGTAATTAATAGATCGTGTTTTGTCGTAAACCAGATGATAAACGACGTATGAACGCACATGAAATTCGTGCAAAAATATTCATTTGTCAGTTGCCAAGCTTATCGTGATCAAAACTTTATCTTATATTTTTTTCTAAGTTATCAAAACTGCATGCAAAATTTCAGCATACTATGCATGTTTTTAGATTTATATCTTTATACGTATTTTTGGCGCATTTTTCTCTCTTCCTTAGGAAATACATTGTTTAATGTAATGTAAGTTATTTCATATAGCAACTGTTTAACGTGGTTTACCCTCTTGCATTAGTGACAGACTTGTTAGTTTCCACCTACCTAACTCCATCAAAACCAGGTATTTCAACATCCACAAAGCGTTAAAACATTTTACGACAATGAAAATTACTGAATTGAAAGCTTTGGGAAAAACCTTGTTTTGTATCCCATTATTTTTGCGTCCAAGATGTATGTTTTTCCCTCGTTTTTTGTTGATTTGAAATATGGTGAACGATGCAATGTGTTTGAAAGAAAACTGGCAAGAGTTTTAGCGATTTGTGTTTGAATAGGAGCCAACATGTTTTGGGAATGTTTTAGATGTGGAAATGTCAGTTATAGTTTTCAGGTGCTTTTCAGAGGCAAAGTTAATCGTAAACAATACAGAACAATAATAGAATTACCGAAAACCCTCGAGAACTTGAGTGAATTTATGAGCTGATAAAATAGTGCATTTTTTCGCATCAATTATCCGAATTTGATAACCAGACGAAAGATGTAAACTTATTGACGCCTGCTGCGGATTTAAGAAACAGTTAGAAACGTATTCCCGCATATATTCATCACGTTTTTATTGACGTAAAAGTAAATGGAAACTTATAAAGTAAAGCTTTTGCCCTTATGCTTTAATCACTTTGCTGTTTTATTACGTTACTTTATGATCTGAAATTAGAACTGATTTGAAATGCATTTAAGAAAACAAATATTTAATACCGTGATCACTATGATTGGAATGATCAGAATGTTGTCGTATATCGTTAGTTTTGGGCAATATGAGAGAACCCGTGACTTTTTGTGCGGTTTACGGTTTAAGCCCTGTTATGCTGAACGAAATCTTCAGTTTATAGCAACGTTCTTGTGAGCTAAAGAAACCGAGTGGCATTTATTTAAGCCTCTCATTTTCCGTAGGGACGAACACCAATAACGTCTGATGAAAAGTGTTTTCATTTTTTTTTAAATTTATTATGCAAGTCATGTACAACGTTAAAGTTGTATGTTAAGCTATCAAATGGTAAAATTTTGTTTCATTTTCCCAGAACTCCCCTCACACAAAACATGGAGTTTAAAATTGACTAGCAAAATGTCGAAGTTCATTTGTAAACATTTCAAATTATGTTTTTGAAACGCTCACAGTAAATGGTTTACAATTTCGCTCTCGACAGGAAAACATTTACTAGAATCAACAGATCATAAATAATTGCTTGTTCTCCGAATAGATTGGAAATATTGACAATCGCTTCCAATTAAATCGAGATTGACGGGCCGGTAATAATGTTCTTAAGCGGATTTATTCGATTCTGCGTCTCCTTTTCTTGTTTGAGTGAGTAGCGAATCAAAATGTATCCGCAGAATTTCGACAAGTCCGGAGAATATACAGCAAATCTCCGACATTCGTCATGATTACTTTAGACATACGAACTGCCACTTTTCGGCTCGATATAACGACAACGAGTCACTTTATGGTATCGTTTTTACGACATTGACAAATATGAAAGCATCTATTGTTTCTAATTCAGATCAATAACTCCGACTAGGAAGGATTGTTAGAGCATAGATGATAGCAAAGTAGGGATTTAGCGTCTAAGATTCTAGAAAAGAAATTAGTATAGGAAATAAGGCATAATGTTGAAGACATTAAGTTGGGCAATTTTTCTTTTTCGTACGTCTAGGAAAGACAAAAATCTATTTTTGTACAAATATTTACAGCACTTTGACTCTATGTTATTTTCTTACATTTTTGCATGGCATGTTATGATATGTCGTGAATACTATTTATTTTTGTAAGAACGGAATTTACATATTGAGTCCCTTTATTGGCACACAAGTAAAGCAATAAATTATTTTGTTTATACCTTCAATGTATTGAAGAACAAATGGTTTATCAAGACCTCAGTGAATACATCAGCATTAAAATATTCACGTAACTTCAGAATTTATATCCGGGTTTTATTTACACAGAACATTTTTTTAAACATTTGAATTGCTGTATTTAATAATTGCTCCTTTAATGTCATCTATCAATATTCGAACAGTAGTATTTCTTCGTATTTCCCCCCATATACAATTTTATGCTAGCTTAAGAACAGTTCATTAGGAAGAAACTTTTCTGGCGCTTAGAGATTATTTCTAATAAGGTTGTAACAATACAATATACTTCCTTCATATCCAGATTATCCGACTTCCGGTTTCCGGCGTGATTTCCCGCGTGAATTCCGCGCGCTATAATCTCTAAACCAGTCTAATTATTTGATTGCATCTGCACGCGATTTCTTGGTCAAATTAATTGATACTTTCTACAGATACTGCCAAGAGGATTAAAAAGATTAGAAATGTGATTAATTAGGGAATGAAATAGAAGAAAGTTTATTGTTAATTCAGAATGTCAAATAAAACGTCATTGTATAGAGAGAAATAATTACATTTATTGACAGTCCCGTCCAGAAATAATCGAACAATCATTATCCTTGTTTTTGTTTACTTTTTTCAGGACATCAGATGGAAAAATGTGACCTGAACGGAGAAGCCGGGCGGTATTGCAAGCAGTGTGGGGAACTGACTTTCCAGCCAGATAAGAACAGATATGGCGACCAGTGCAAATACAGGTTTGAATCCTTGAATAAGTTCATTTTTTTAGAAAAAGTTGAATACTGATGATATAAAATTAAGTTCCCCTTTTAGATTTAAGTGACTTTGAATTTGGCTGCCAAATAAAACCCATTTGTGTAAATGGTACAATTACAGTCACACCTGATAGAATAAGCCAGTCTCAGAAATTTATAGAAAAGCGCATATATTATCTTCCAGAACACAATATTTTGCACACTATTTGTTCAAATTAGATATTTTATAGGTAAAGAGGGTAGTGTCATATATATACGAGGTTGGCTTAACAATGGGTTTGACTGTATTTGCAAGATGAACAGAAATTAATTTTAAGATATCTGGACCTACAACTGGGAATGGGTGGTGAAATAATGCTTGGAGGGGTTCCTTTGGTATTTGTTACCAGCAATTAAATAAGAAAGCTTTTTTGTGTGTATTTAAGTGCCTGTGTGACCAAAAATGAATAATCAGTAAGACATCATTTCTGTGGTCACTGTTATGAGATGAATCTCGTAAAATATTTCGAGAAAGTAACCTATGTTCTCGCATCAAGTTTCAATAAAAAAAGGAAATTGTAGGCATTTAGTTATTTACGATAGACTATTAAAGGGAGATAATTATAGAAAAGAAGTCAGTAATATATTTTGCAAAATAGATATGTCATTGATTATCAACAGTTTACTGGTATACCTAAAAAAATCGAAACAAAATTTCCAAAATAATTGCATATCATAGCTAACTAATGAAACATTACCGATAGGAAAAACTTAAAAGAATCGTTTTCAGGAGAGAGAAAAATAGTACATGTGCTAGACATAATGTAGTTTTATTGCATCTTGCAAAAACATAGACACATCCGCTGCAGAAAATAGTCCGTATCGACATGATGACGATTCTGGTAGAAACTTTATAGTTTGTCGCGTATTGAAAATCAATGAGAAGCGTCATTATATCACACGGGGTATTTTCATCTGAAGAACGTCTATATAATCCCCTAGTGTAGTGGAATTAATTGAGAAAATAATCTTAATTAGGTTATTTGATCATCAGAAAAAGACCGTACAATTGATCTGATAGGAATTATAGGCTGACAGAGACACTGGATCAAATTGTGATCCGAAATTTGCCTGCCGGTAAATTTCTACATACGTCGTCATAAATTGTGTGTAATAAAACTGTATGAACGGTATTATTTATTGTATCATAGTTTGGAGACCTTTCTGTTGAAAATGTGTCAGGGTTAAATCGTATACATATACGTGCTTTTATGTTTGACTATATGATACAAAAGAGAAAGAACACCAAAACACTCGGCAATCTGATTTATACTCGGGGGCTACGCCCCCTCGTACAAATCAGATAGCCTCGTGTTTCGGTGCTCTTTCTATTACTTACTTTGTGATTTTGAAAATTATACAGATTCCAAAATCAATAAGATATTACAAATATCTCTGTCTTCTAATGAGATAAGATTAAAGCGTGATTTTATACTTATGATGTATAAGTCACGTGATATTAAAACCTATTGAAATAATAAGGTATAGAAATCTTCAAACATTATAAACTTCAAGATCAACCAGGGACTTTATTTGAAATGTCAACTAAAGTTCCTGGATAAACTAAAAGTAAAAGAAAGATGTATCCTCCGTGTCCGTTGTATAGACTCCGTAGTACTTTCACATTTTATTGTCAGTTTATTTTGTAAATAAATTATTTATCTTCTCTTGCTGTCTCTTATTTAAACGTGTACACATAAAGATTGATAACGAACTCTTTTTCTTCCAAAATATCGTAAAAATCGTGCAATAATCATTTTCTTTCTCTTCTTCCTTTTTTTGTAAAAAAGAAGTCAATTTGCCCTAGCAGGCATAAACGTGTAAATGGTATCCTGGTGAGTTCCAATTGTTTTGTTCCAACTCGTCATTCTTCGCAGTAACTATTAGATTATAATGTCGGAGTCAGAAGGCGAAAAAAGAGAAATGTATAAAAAGTTAGCCCGAAATTCTCAAAGATAAAAGCACGCTGAGTTTTCGACATGTTACAAGCTTGTTTTTTCTTCTTTCATGCAAATTCATCGTGATGAAATGCAAATCTGTGCCATTGAACATTCGGAGTTCATTTTTATGTTTGAATAGAAGTAATTGGTGTTAAGAAATCACAAAGGGAACGCGTTCCATTACCACTGATTAAAGATCATCCCTAAAGAGTTACCATCGTAACGTATCATGAAAGTCGGAATAGAAAAAAAAATACACTGATATATTTTCTAGGATTAATATGTGAAGTAGATATTAAAAGCGATGCGTTATTCATAAATAAGTAAATGAATAAATGATTGATGCGAGTCAATAAATAACAATGACTTTTGTAAACTATGGAACGCCAAATACAATCTTTTGCTTCTCTGATAAAAGATATTGAATTGAATTTCATAGAAATGTGCCAGAAGTGTTCTTTTTACCGTTGCAGAAAACTGGTTTAAGATAAGGATTGTCTTCAAACTGGTTTCTTTTACTTGAACTAAAGATATTAATTAAAACTGAAATTTAGCTTCAGTACAATATCTATCAAAATTTAAAACTACAAAAAAACATATTACTGTTACAAATAAAAAATAAGAACAAAAGAACCCATGTCAGAGATAAAATATGTCTCTAAATATATTTGACTAAGTTAGATAACAGGGTGATGATTTAGTGTTTCATGTGTCAGTTTCTCAGCCAACGGGTCATGAGTTTGAGCTCTAATAGGAACATGCTTCGTCAAGGGGCATCAGTAATGATAAGTTTCAGGGTTGCTTCAGGGTGCTATTTATAGAGTGGTTCAATTAATGCATTTAACTTCATAATAAGCGAGCTAAGATATGTTTAAACTGAATATTACTCCATTAGTATAATAAAACATATTTGTTGGATATATGTTATACATCATCCTGCCTTGAGAGAGATCTCATTTTCTGTAATAGAAACGATATTTTAAACAATTAATTAAGAAATGATTAATAGGCAATTAACTTATATATCTGAAAGATAAACGCACTTGTTTTCTCATTTGAAACGCTGTTTTTGTTGTTGTTTTTGTTTGTTGTTTTTGCAATTGCGTAACAGATGAGTAGCAAGCACATGCAGAGTTTCAATTAATTAGAAATAATTGCTTTTTCTCCGAAATGAATCTTTTTTGTTCAATGCGAACTGTACTTTTTGACAGACAGCTGTTACATGTATTGCAAATGAAAGTGTTCTAGATTCGTAGGCTACTTTTTCTTTATATTACATTTATTATTTAAAGGAATTTTAATAAATGCATTGTTCATTATTGAATGTTGAAGGCCTGTCTTCAGACATAACATTTTTAATAATGCTACAGCACACTTGGGTGACACATTGTGTTATTTGAAAATTTCAATAAATTATAATTTATATGCAGATATTGAAATTAATTATAAATTGACGAGGGAAGTTTGCGATATTTCTTGACTATAAAACTATATAAAACTTGAAACTCATTTTATTTTTGTAGTCATACATACTGGCGTATATTATTTATTTAACTTATTATCTTATTAAATTTTTAGAATTTTGATAGGCACGACTTCCTATATAAAAAACCAAAAGATCGGGATAAGCAAAATAAACAAATGACACAAAATCAAAACAAGAAATGGAAAAAACTGTATAAATGTTTGCAACAGTGTGTTTTAGAAAATTAGTGATTAAAGTTTTTTTAAGAAAATACTAGTCTTTCAGCGTTATTTGTTTAACTATATTAAACTATAGTTTATTGTACTACATATTACAAGTATTTCATCCCCTTGAAGTTCATTGCAAAAAAGACAATACCATAATAAATAAGCTATATTTTTTCATCTACTGAAAGATTGACTTGCTTTCTTCCAAGTATCCAAGCAGAGTATTACAGATCATGCTATCACATGCAATACCATCAAAGCTAAACACCGCCTATAATAAAAATTGCACGCGAAAACGCATTTTATTATGCATCAGTCATAGACAGAGATACGGACTATCTGGGAATGAGATTAATTCATGCTGTATTAGAAATGCTATTTAGATACCTGGAAAATGCTGAGATATTATGAACTATAGGAAGATTTAAGCCGCCTCTACTGATAAAAAATCTAGATAGAAATAAATTGTGTATTATCCAAATTGAAGTATTTATATAATTTCTTTACCATGTTAAAATTGAAAATTACGTGTATTAATGTCCCCTCTTGTTATTTTTGTTATTTAAAATTGATAAGTTATGTTCAATAAAGTTCTTAGTTTAGTTTAAAACATATTTATTTTAGCTTGAATGTAAAAAAAGATAATCTTGCAACTTATAATAATCTTTTTTTCCGAGTTCGCCTCCTGGCACTTACCAGTACTGTTATCATAAAAGAAAACGTGGTCGTGATCCGAGAAGGCCTCGAAACCATCTAGAAATTTACTGTATCGGACGGTTTTAATCACTTCGGATTACTTTATCCTTTTAGTATACGAGTTATAGCTTTATTTTTGTTATGTATCAACTATCTCGTGAACTACCAGTCTCGGAAAGCCTAGTCTTATAGTAATAATAGGTCTACATTGTTTTTATACGGGTCTGTCGTAAAGAGAATCTCATTAAATTTTTACCGCCAAAATCGCAAAATTTACCGTACGCGAAAATTACCTGATATATGGTATTAGATTTTTTTTTAACATTGAAATATTTTGTAAATTTTAGTTGTAAACGAGTGTTTAATTGTACTTATTTTTTTGTTTCGTTTTGTCATTATAGGCAGACCTGCGACAAGTACCGTATGAGCTATAAAGACTATGGCAGCAAGACACATGATGCGGAGTGCGTCTGCGATCTTGGCTACCATTTTGAAAGTACGGACCAACGCGCATGCGTGCCAAATAAAGTATGCGGAAAGGGATACGGACAGGGGTCATTCGGTAAGTGTTGTGAGCGTTTAGATTTACTTATTCTCACCTGTATGCTTTACCGATCCCACGATTGCATTATTTTACCTTTTGTTTTCATTTTAAGTTCACTTATTGTTCCACCAATCCCTGCAACATTCATGTTTTGAGGTAAAAAGTAAAGACATTTAATAAACGAGCAGTATCACATGCAAATGTAACGCATGTATATGAGTAACTTATTTGGAAAATTTTAGTGTTTTTTTTTAATTGACACTCGTTTTAGTGTGTAGCATGTCAAATCTTGTTTCATTTGATTTCGGCTTTTTATTTTTTGTTGTAAAAATAATAAATTTGTTCTTGTATGCGACTAATAAGTGCAAAGCGACAGGTAGTTTGAAACAAGTTTTTCATTAGATTAAGAGAGACAACTCTTTATGAACTGTTAGTGTGATTGTATTAAAACTAGTGGAGTTACTCCCCTTGTTGTTATTTCCAGAGGACGGGCGGAGAACAGGTAAGTTTTGTTAGTGTGAGACCCAAACAAACCAGGCACAAAACCAAGTTCCTATATTTTCTAGCAATGGTTTCATTCTGTTTTGTATTTAACTGAAAAAAAATCAAAAGAAATGTAAAAAATCTTATTCTAAATTCGCATGCAGACGACAAGCTTTTGGTAGTTACGTATTTATTTAGTTTATGTACATTTTGTGCTGCGACTATTGTAGAGAAGTCAATTTGTACATAGTTTACATTTCAGAGTTAGTTATGCTTCAGTGTAATAAAAGAAATTTAGTTTTCGTTTGCAATTTTATTGTCAAATTTTGCATGTATTCCAAGTTTTTACCAGACAAAAGCTTAATAAATTACCATCCCCTATAATAATCCAAGTGCGCTGGTTTTTCTAGTAACAAAGTTATTTCCCATAGAGTTTTAGAACTACCGCCCCTTTATTTCTTACATACCGCCGACACATAGCGTTTTCTCTCCCAATTTATGTGCGGTTTTTTGTGAAAAGGTAAAATCATTCGTAAAAGCAGACGGTAATTTCCGTTCAGTTGAAATACGTTATCTAGCGTGCTATATTGGCTTGCATCCTCGTGACTTCCGTAAATTACCGATGAATGCCAAAATTGCACGTGTATTTAAACGTCACGAGCCGGAAACAGTGTCGTCTGCTACTACGAATAGGGTACCTTGACATTTACATGTATACGCAATGGTGTTGATATTTCTAAAAATGGGTCAACTTGTATATAAAATGGCATCATGCAGATTTATAAAACTCGATGACTGCCATTTTAACTTGACCTATTTTAGTTTTTTATATATAATTGCATTTCAATCTTGAGAAATACGTTATTATTATATAAAAATAAGCTCTATGCAATTTTCTCTATTACACATTTAACTGTGACAATGGAAACCCTCTTTATACAAAATTATTTTATACACGAGTTCTAACAAAAGTACAAACAAGAAAAAATCTTAATTACTAACATTTTTATTTCTTATGTTTGAATTATCTATATATTACATTAAACATTTCCAGCCTTGTCTAGAAGGCATATGTTAATACTGTAACTGGATGAGGACACTATATATTAATTATTTTAACGAAATAATTAAATTGAAATAATTAAATTGTAAATGCGTATTGATTTATCTGCAAAAGCGTTGCTTTCGCATGACAAACAAGCACTATTGAATTTCGTCAATTTTAGAAAAAAATGTTTTGCCTTGTTATTTAAGTATTATATTTACAAAATATAGAATTGTTTTTGCCCTCGTCTTGTTACATTTACTTTAATAATCCAGAAACAACATAATTATTATAGATATAAACTTTGATACAAGAAATATAACTGTATTATTATAAATAGAAAATACATGTAGATTCTAAAAATAGGATTGTGACATGATTGACAGGGTTGTATGATTTAGAATTAAAAGAAGAATGAAAAATGAACGTTAAAAGGTTGTTTGCGTTTCTTACCATCTGAACTATTTATTTGGTGAAAGATTTTTTTAATGTATGAATATTGTACAAATATTGTCAGAACTTATTTTGCACTGCACGATTTTTTTAAGAAAAAAGGGTTAAATGTACTTTGCATGAACCAATTTAAATTTCTATGGTGAATAAGTGATCAGTAAACCTTAGCTTCATTTTTATTTCAATTCTTTATAATAACAAGCTTTTTTATTTTATTTTTTGTTTTTCATGTAACTGTCATTTCTTTTAAATATTAAATAAACAAAAATGTGCAACTTAAGATTCGATTTTGTCAGAAGATAACCTGCAAATGTTTGATAACGTATTCGTTTTTAGAAGAAAAAAAATGCCATAGATTTATACATACATACATGATGGTGTTGGCAAAGTTTTTAAAATATATATCCGCTTATATGTCTGTGAAAACACCTTTTATGTAAAAATTCCTTTTTGGATCTTTTGACCTTTGACCTCTGGGTGTTGAATATAATTATGATATTATGCTAGAATAGTTTTAGATTTCGTTTCCCCCGTGGGTTAAGGATAATCAGTATATATAGGTATGGAATGTAATTTTTATTTTTTTGTTACTTTAGGTTTTTGTGAAAATTGTATACAGAAGGACATGTGGTCGGATACACAAGACACGTATTCCACGTGTAAACCACTTAGAAAGTAAGTATGATTCTTTAAAGCTTCACACCCTAAAATATATGAGCCGCGTCACGACAAAACCAACGTTAAGCGACCAGCATGGATCCAGACCAGCCTGCGCATCCGCGCAGTCTGATCAGGATCCATGCTGTTCGCTATCAGTTTCTCTACTTGTTATAGGGTTTGTAAGCGTACAACATGGATCCTGATCAGACTTCGCGGAAGCGCAGGCTGGTCTGGATCCATGCTGGTCGCAAAGGCATTATGTTGATTTTGTCATGGCGTGGCTCATATTAAATTCTGGGTTTATGTATAAGAAATGTAAAGCTACATGCCTTCAGATATTCCAATCTATGTCAAGAAAAATAACCTTGAAAATATATATACTAAGATTTCAACAAAAATAGAATATTCAAAAAATTATACACATGTGATATGCAATGAATTATTGATTTTGCAGTATTATTTATCATATTTCTACTGCATTACTAACGCAGTAAGGGCTATTTTTTATATTTTGACCTGTTTTTAGGTCATTTTTGTATTTGTACCAGTGTGTTGCTCACTTTTCTTTTACTCTTGACGATATTTTACATTTTAATTCTTTTTAAAAACATTCATGAAAATAAGAATGAATCCGGAGGCATGTTGCTTTAAAGAAAAATTCACCCATAATTACAATAATTTATAGATGGAAATATATTCAATAAGGGCACGTGAAATTGTTGTATTAATTTCTGTACTGTTTTATCACTAGTTAATCTCAAGATGAAGTTAAATACATGTACACAAACATTTTGTCTACACTATTGTTCTGGCAGAATGTCTTTAAACAGGTATTGCAACAAAGTGAAATTTGAAATTGATAATTTACAATAATACATATATTACATTTTGCAACTGTTCATCGGCGATGTTTTTGCATAGATTACATATTTTCTCTTTTCTTTTACAGTTGTGAAAAAGAAGGGCGATGTACATTGTCGAAAAGCAATGGCACTAATGATAACAAATGTGGACCAAAAATCAACGGTAAATATCTAGCTATTAAGTTGTCAGTATGACGTCTTTGCGTGTCTTATGAAGTCAGATTAATTCTTTACTTCGATTAAATCGTTCAATAAGTTATAAGTTATTAAGAATGAGAATTTGTTTATTTTTTGGATAAAGTACGGTAGAAGGTTTTTGTCTTGCAGCTCTTTCATTCATATCTAATTGATACTTATCCTCTGAGGAGACAGTAAAGTGCTCATCTGTCTTTTCTATCAACTTTTATTCTCAAAGTCGTCCGGCTTCTGATGCAAAAGAGTGTTCGAATAATAACGTTCTTGTCATTGAACTGAGAATCGATTGCATCCCTTGCGGCATGCTTGATTAATCACCCAGCTGCCACGTTGTTCCGGAATGGAAATTTAAGTAAATTGGGCACCTGCTGGCCATAATTGGAACATTGTTCTTAGATTTTAACCAAACACTTATAACTCGGTTTAGAAATTTTTATTCGATTCTTTTGATTTATTGTTGTTATGCAACGTTCCTATTTCCGATTAAGGAAAATGTTCAAGATAAATGTGTTAAGCACCGCACGACTTAAGATTTATTATCTCCGTTATGTGAACGAATAAAATGATATGACGTCATAAGGTGATTTGTTTATGGTAGCAATTTTGGGGCGATTTTAGAACATTGATTATTATTTCATTTTTTTTTTCTAAGAAGAACTTTTAAAAATCAAGTGCAGCCTTATATCAGTTATTATCGATATCTTCTTGAAAGGCAAAGGCAGCTAAATCTTAATTGATGTTTTTATAAAAATAAATATATAAAAAAAATGCATTATTGCATATAAACTTAAAATTTCAAGTTCAATGTCTTCCTCCACCAGTAAAGCTTGAAAATCAACTTTTGTATTATGTCCCTGCTTTCATTTGTCTGAGATACTTAACCCAAAAAATTACGATCATTTTATAACTATGTTTTCCCCAAAAAAGCAGAATTGATAAATGAAATATGTTTTTTCTATTTCTTAATATGTACGAAAATGAGTGTTTCTTAATATGCTCGAAAATGAGGTTTTATTACTGTTTGTTAATATTTCCATAGCATATAATCCGTTTTATTCTTTCGGAATTACAGACAAGCAATAAGCCATTGGTTTCTTTAACGCATAAACAATATAAAAGAACATATACTACCCGATGGAAATAACTAATTACTTCTTTATCTACCGAAGCGTTTTTGTGTCGGATTGCCAATGGCGACATTAAAAGTTTAGACAAAAATTGGCAATTGCTCTAGTACTTGCATTAAACAAACACAAATAACAACAACGGAAAAAAAACTCGTTGCACCATATATTTATCTGCCTTTATAAATGTTAAATGTCAATTAAACACCTGCCTCGGATTAGGTTTTTAGTTTGATATGATAATAAAACAATTGCCGAGGAGTTTTTGCCCAAACAGAATATTACAATTGGAAGTGAATTATCATCGGGATACTGGTAAAATCCTTTGACGTATTAAACATCTTCTATAGAACCTTTAACCGTTTCAACGCTAAATACTTTAAAGACTTTCAATCCAGACAAAACCAATTATTTTTAGTGAAAATTTCAAGTACTGACTGAAAAACGAACAGTGCAGACAATGACTCGACAGCACAGATGTGCCCACCGATTATGGTCTGCACTGTTCGTATAGGTCAAATTTGCTGCCGGCAGCGGGCTGAAGTTAAATTGTACGTGAAACTCGTGCAACTTATATCTAATAAAACTTTGATGTTGATTTTTTTTATCTTTTTAAACATACTTTTTCTTTGAATGATATAAATCATATTATTTTGGTGTAGTTTTTGTTTACTTGAGAATATTTACTTTTCAGATGTGTCCAAATGTGGTGTCATCCAGTATACAACACCGAGTCCAACCGAACCCTCCTCCACGGGACTCATACTTGGGGTAGTGTTTGGTGTATTAGGGGCCCTACTTTTGATTCTTGTGATACTTGTGTGTTGTCTCCGACGCCGACAGAGGGCCAGGAAACGTCAGATTCGGACCGAACAGCTGGAAGAACTTTTGCCAGAAATCATCAAACGTTCGAGAAAAGACGAGAAATATTGTAATTCTGGTATGTAATCTGCATTGTCGTCTGCTTACAGTGTCGTCTGCTTTAGGTCATCGACTAATTTTATTTACAGAATAAAATATGGAATCAAATCACTTGGTCCCATTGCAAGTTTCATAATTATTTCTCGTATATACAAGATATTGTAATGAAATTGCAGCATCGTCTGCTTTATGCATCGTCTGCTTTATGCGCCGTATGCCTTAGCTAGTCACTTTATTCCAGTTAATAAGATATTTTATTTATAAGGCCAACCAAATATAAAAAAACACTTCTAGTAGGACCAATATTAAATAAATTTAATAATTAGGTCTCGTAAATAAACAACCCTGCTGGCAATTTGTCATTATTTTGTACATTGTTTAATGTAAAAGTTACTAGTATTTTTGGTCGTCTGCTTAAAGTAGTGTTTTGTTCTCGTGAGTATAAAAAATACATATTCATATACTCAAATATACAATATTCTAAATGCACATTATATTAAACTTAAACTCTGCTGTACAAATTTTACTTAAATGTCGTCTGACACTTATGTTTAAAGTTTGGTTATCATTTCAGTTTTGGACGCTCTACAGAAAGAAGTTGAAGATAGAATAAATAATCAGATCTGGGATTTACCGAGAGAGTTGTTTAGGAACCATATAGAACCTGCAAGATATGAGGTGCTTGTCGAGAAATACAGAGGTGCGATTTTAACTTTTATTATAACCCCTTCCCCACAAAAAATGATTCAAACCACTTGCCCCTCACCGCTGTGGGTTCGAATCCCGACAGGGACTTTGAATTCTTTCATGTGAGGAAGCTATCTAGCTAGCTTACGGAACGTCGGTGGTTCTACTCAGGTGCCAGTTCGTGCCTGAAATAATGCACGGAAGGGCACCTGAGGTCTTCCTCCACCAGTAAAGCTGGAACGTCGCCAAATGACCTATACTGTGTCGGTGTGACGTAAAACCCAAACAATCAAACAAACACAAAAAAGACTGTTTTAGTACTTTGAATTAAAAAAAAATAATAGAAAAAGTTTTTTTTATGTTGGAAGTCTTTATCACAATCATTTGTTTTTCAAAGATGGAGTGTAAGTTTATTTGATAATAGAGTTTTCATATCATCTTTTCCCTTCGGTCCTTCTTGCATTGAAAAATATAATCTGGGTCATCAAAATGACCATTAATAAACATGCAACATGCCATTGTACTAAAGAATTTAGGAGAACGTTACTTAATGTAAGACTTTATTGATTCCAGCAGTTTTAAGTTTTGAAAATTAAGTACCGCTCACGCCGGTGCTAGGGGACGTGACGGATGTTGCATTTTAATTATCCTTCATGTACAGACTCAATCAAACCTAGAGTCTGCAATTTTGATGGAATTCATGTTTCCTAGGGATCACCCTTTTTTCCAAATTCTTACAAAAGGTGTCTCGATTACTACATGTTTTGTACAGCTGACCTTTTGACATTTTCGTACAATAAATTGCAGAAAAAAATAAACCCTGTAATCTCCAACAGAAATTAACAACTTATGTCTCTCTGGTACATGTGGTATGTTTGTGGGTGTCTGAGTAACACAACACGATTTGAAATAAAGATATACTTAATTTAAATGGTATAGTTAAATAGTTTTTTCATTTTCGTTTTCTTTTAGATAAGCAACATAAATTCGCGATCAACGGTTACATGCAGGATTGGCGCGGATGGCGGGGAAACACCGGTGACGCCGTTGAGGAACTTGTTGGCTGTCTACGTCACGAGAACGTCAAACGAATGGATATAGTTCTAGAAGTTGTCAACAAAATGAGTGAAGGTATAACGATGATTTCACTCTATACTACGGTCTAACAATTTTTTTATCAAAAATGTTTACATACTAGTATTTGGTCCTGTTCCATTCTTATTTGTGTAAATTCATGGGAATTTATATTCTGTCACATTACTGGTCCGTTCCCATTCCACCTACATTTGTGTAAATAACTTTGAAAAATAAAATCATTATACTTATTGTGTCTTTCAAATTGATTAATTTAATTATTCTTGGGAGAAAATGGTTTCTGAGTAGCATAATTTAGTGGTATTGTTTGACCACGTTGACTTTTTATGAGTTTTGTTACATATTTTATATAAATAAGTACGAATGGTTTAAGGTATCAATTCAATTTTATATTTGTAGACTTCCCAGAGGTTGTCGATGGTTACGACAGGTCGAACAAGCGGAAACCTGGGTCTGCAAGCTATTGTGCTATCTTGTTCCCATGTGCTTGCCAGGAAAACGAGAAAGACAATTACGAATGTAAAGAAACTTCCAGCAGACTTCTTTCAGATGTATCAGTAAATGAAAAAGACAATGGCCACGTACCGCCACCTAGCGAACCACGTGACCCAAATATTCCTCCGCCTGAAGGTGGCGCTATTGATCCACATGATGCTGGTGCTATTTATAGAGACTCGGCAACGCCAAGTGCAACGCCAAGTGCACCAATTTTAGATGGAGAAGACATTTATCCTCATGTTGAGGTCAAAGGTCAACATTTTTACGATAGATCCGAGTCGGTTCCAGTGCAAGCAAGCAGTTAGGTGCTCAAACCATATCGTGACTGCCTAATATTCTTTTTTTTTGTGATTTACGCAATTTAATACTTGTGTTCCAGAGTGTATTGACATCATTGATAGCACGTGCTTTGAGACTCCAAAATGAGACGCTTAGTTGACTGATGATTGTTTTATATTAAAACTGAATTTTAGCCCAATGATGTGAATATTTGCTAAGTAATGGAGCTTTTAAAGCACACTATAACCAGACCCTTCTGTGTCCAGGTGGAGTTTGATAAAGGATTTCAAGTGAATGGACTTTTTATAGGACATGAATGTAGTAAATACAAATGCAAATTTTTACATCAGCACCGTTGACCTATTACGTAACAAGGTCAGCCAGCGTTCTTTTGAATGAAAAATGGACTAGATTCATTTGCAAACTGTAGACAAATGGTTTCATTAATGATCATGATAAAGGATTGAAAGTATGAATTGTATTGCTGTACATTATTCAATCACTGTGAAGTTTTTGCAAACTTGTGCGCTTTGGTCTCAAAGACAGCGCATGCGCAATGTTTTGAAACATGCATCATAATCACGTGACATCCTCATATTGGTATATTCGGGCCTTTTCCGCTGTTTTTGCCTAAAATGTAAATGTAAAAGAAATACATGTGAAAAAACAACACTTTAATGGTCTACTTTGTAATCAAATTCAATACAAGGTGACGAAATATGCACATGTATATAGAAATAAATTTATTAGACACTCGTAGAAAAAACCGGTATACTATTATGTATTCGTGAATAGATTACGATAGTTAAAACTGAATGACAAGTTAATAATTTGATATCTGATGTGCTTAATTATTTACATTTTCATTTGACATGAAATTCAGTAAAAAGACATTAATTTGCTAACATCTTAAAAAATATTTCTTCACAAATCAGCACCCAGTATATGCCATAGTAGGTCATTGAATAAATTATTAAGTCGCTTAAAGTCATTTTAAGAACATTTGAAAACGGTTACTATTATTATTCTTTGTTTATAGTTTCCCGATTAATTAGGGAAAAAAATATAAGATGTTATTTTACTGGAAATAAAATTTTGAAAGTATTTAATTTTTATTTTTCAAAAATTTAGGTCATGTTATAATTTCGTAGAAAAAAAAGATAAAATGAAGTGAAATAGATTAATAAAACCTAAATTTGTAGACCGTTATATCACCTCTGAAACAAAAGTATATATATTCAACTCTTTTTTTAGCCCATACATCTCAAATTGTGCATTGGGTGTTCTTTATTTTCTGTATTTTGGTTAAACATGCATAAGTATATTTACTTGTGGATAATGACTTTCAAATAATTTGTGTTTGTTTTGTCAGATAGCTAATGTTGAAGCATGGTTGCTTGTAGGTGAAACTTTGCATTCCAATTTTTTTCTATTTCGTTAGATTTTTTTTTCAACCTTGTTTCTTTCTTTGTCTCAAACCATTTCTTCATAATTTACCAAAGAAAAATGTCTGTCTATCATATTAAAATAGTGCAATTAATGACCCCAAAGAAAATGTTCTACAAAAACTTTTTTCATTTTTAGCTCGACTTTTCTATGAAAAGGGGAGCTATCCTACTCGCCCCGGCGTCGGCGTCGGCGTCGGCGTCGGCGTTGGCGTTGGCGTCACACCTTGGTTAAGTTTTTCGTACCACCCCACTTTATTTCAGAAGTATTACAAGTATGGCTTTGAAACTTACCATACTTGTTCACCATCATAACCTCCATCTACAGACAAGAGTACATAACTCTGTCAAAGGTTTTTGACAGAATTATGGCCCTTTTTTGACTTAGAAAGTGTATTGAGCTTGGTTAAGTTTTTTTGTACCACCTCACTTTTATTTCAAAACCATTGGAGGTATTGCTTTGAAACTGACCATACTTGTTTACCATCACGACCTTCATCAACAGACAAGAGGACATAACTCTGTCAAGGTTTTTGACAGAATTATGCCCCTTTTTGACTTAGAAAATACATTGAATATGGGTAAAATCCACTTATTGCCTTAACCCTTTGAGATATTGCTTTGAAACTTTTAATGCTATTTCACATCATTACCCCCATCTGTACGCAAGAGAAGGTAACTCTGTCAAGGATTTGTTTTAAAAATTAAGGCCTTTTATCGACTTAGAATCTTGGTTAAGTTTTTAGTACCAGTCCACTTTTTGACTGAACTGTTTGAGATATTAATTTGAAAGTTGGAATACTTGTTTACAATCATGATTCCCAAACATGTCCAGGAGAAGGTAATTCTGTCAAAGATTTTATTTGAATTATGGCCCTTAACTGTCAATGTTTTGTATTATAGGCAAGCACTAAAAAACTTAAAAAATCTAAAAAAATTCATTCCTATTCACTTGTTCACTTTACCATAAATTATGTCATATAAACATTGCTGTAATATTCAAGGGTATCAAACAACTAGTTATTTTTCTCTTTTTGTACTTGAAATTAAAATCAGTAGTATATGCATATTTCACATTTTATCTCGCCTATTTGATTGGTGGACAAGTGACCAGCTACAGTGTTCAAGGGTATCACACAATTCAGTAAAATAATTCTTCACTAAATATCTTAATGCTCATGGCCATTGTTCACTTTAAAAATACAGAGATTCTTGTATTGCCTTTTACTGCAAAAACTTTTTTTATTGGCAAGCAATAAAAAAGTCGAGCGCGCTGTCTTACGGACAGCTCTTGTTTTATATGATGCAATGTACTCAACCATCGTTTTTAGCTCGACTTTTCTATGAAAAGGGGAGCTATCCTACTCGCCCCGGCGTCGGCGTCGGCGTTAGCGTCGGCGTTGGCGTCACACCTTGGTTAAGTTTTTCGTACCACCCCACTTTATTTCAGAAGTATTACAAGTATGGCTTTGAAACTTACCATACTTGTTCACCATCATAACCTCCATCTACAGACAAGAGTACATAACTCTGTCAAGGTTTTTGACAGAATTATGGCCCTTTTTTAGCTCGACTTTTCTATGAAAAGGGGAGCTATCCTACTCGCCCCGGCGTCGGCGTTGGCGTCACACCTTGGTTAAGTTTTTCGTACCACCCCACTTTATTTCAGAAGTATTACAAGTATGGCTTTGAAACTTACCATACTTGTTCACCATCATAACCTCCATCTACAGACAAGAGTACATAACTCTGTCAAGGTTTTTGACAGAATTATGGCCCTTTTTTGACTTAGAAAGTGTATTGAGCTTGGTTAAGTTTTTTGTACCACCTCACTTTATTTCAAAACCATTGGAGGTATTGCTTTGAAACTGACCATACTTGTTTACCATCACGACCTTCATCAACAGACAAGAGGACATAACTCTGTCAAGGTTTTTGACAGAATTATGCCCCTTTTTGACTTAGAAAATACATTGAATATGGGTAAAATCCACTTATTGCCTTAACCCTTTGAGATATTGCTTTGAAACTTTAATGCTATTTCACATCATTACCCCCATCTGTACGCAAGAGAAGGTAACTCTGTCAAGGATTTGTTTTAAAAATTAAGGCCTTTTATCGACTTAGAATCTTGGTTAAGTTTTTAGTACCAGTCCACTTTTTGACTGAACTGTTTGAGATATTAATTTGAAAGTTGGAATACTTGTTTACAATCATGATTCCCAAACATGTCCAGGAGAAGTAATTCTGTCAAAGATTTTATTTGAATTATGGCCCTTAACTGTCAATGTTTTGTATTATAGGCAAGCACTAAAAAGTCGAGCGCGCTGTCTTACGGACAGCTCTTGTTGACTTAGAAAGTGTATTGAGCTTGGTTAAGTTTTTTGTACCACCTCACTTTATTTCAAAACCATTGGAGGTATTGCTTTGAAACTGACCATACTTGTTTACCATCACGACCTTCATCAACAGACAAGAGGACATAACTCTGTCAAGGTTTTTGACAGAATTATGCCCCTTTTTGACTTAGAAAATACATTGAATATGGGTAAAATCCACTTATTGCCTTAACCCTTTGAGATATTGCTTTGAAACTTTTAATGCTATTTCACATCATTACCCCCATCTGTACGCAAGAGAAGGTAACTCTGTCTAGGATTTGTTTTAAAAATTAAGGCCTTTTATCGACTTAGAATCTTGGTTAAGTTTTTAGTACCAGTCCACTTTTTGACTGAACTGTTTGAGATATTAATTTGAAAGTTGGAATACTTGTTTACAATCATGATTCCCAAACATGTCCAGGAGAAGGTAATTCTGTCAAAGATTTTATTTGAATTATGGCCCTTAACTGTCAATGTTTTGTATTATAGGCAAGCACTAAAAAACTCAACTCAGTTTTTTTTTCTTTCTTACCAGCCCTCTTTTGACTTAAACATTTCAAACTTTGCTGCAGTGTTCAAGGGTATCACACAATTCAGTAAAATAATTCTTCACTAAATATCTTAATGCTCATGGCCATTGTTCACTTTAAAAATACAGAGATTCTTGTATTGCCTTTTACTGCAAAAACTTTTTTTATTGGCAAGCAATAAAAAAGTCGAGCGCGCTGTCTTACGGACAGCTCTTGTTTTCTCTGCACTTGAGTTCATATATAAGTGACCTCTATTCCACCCTCATTATTTGCCTCTGCATTTATTCATTTATAAGTTTATATATAATGCCCCTCAAAATGTTCTATTCGAAATTAAACTGCATGTAAATTAAAAGTGTTTCAGTGTGAACTATTCTTTACTGTCAGTGTATAGTATTTGTTGAACAAAAATGTATTTGTTAAGTTTTAATATGTTATTTCTAGCTCCACTATTCGAAGAATTGGGACAGCTATTGTACTCGCCCTGACGTCGGCGTCACGCTTGGGTTAAAATTTTTGCTTGTAAGTCGGTATCTCTAAAACTACAAAGGGGAATGTGTTGAAACTTCACACACTTCTCAGCGAGTATTTAACATGATAGACACAGGTTCCACAACTCTTGAGTTATCTTTTTACAGAGTTATGTCCCTTTTCTTCTAGCTTTTCAAGCACTGAAAATAGTCGAGCGAGCTGTCTTATGGACAGCTCTTGTTTCCTTCTTACTTCACATATAACTTGTTGTGCTGTTTGAATAGATATTTTACATGTGTGTATATATATGTTATATTTTTGCTCTTGTTTTATGTTTCATTTTGCTGTTGTAGAAACGACATTTTTTTGCTTATGAAGAAAACAAAATTATGAAATTCAGTTTTCTTTAAAGTAAATTTGTATTGTTTAAACAGAAAAATGAAATGTGAATGATTTTTATGCATTGAAATGAACGCGTATTTCGTTTCATGAACCGGTGCGTCTGTAAAATCCAAATGTTATATAAAAAAAAATCAATGATATATATCGTGAATAACCATTAAGGCGTATGTATGTTATTTGTCTTACTATTTTAACTTTTGTTTGTCCAAGTTTTATTTAAGTAAATAATAATTAATGTGTTTTTAATGGCATGTTTTAGTATATCAGTAATGTAATGGTATATATGTATTATACCAATTATGTAATGGTGTAGTTTATATTTTAATGGTATTCATGTTTAATAATTGAGGAGATTCAGCTGAGTGTTGGTTTGAAAACGCAGCCTGAAAAACTTGCTGTTTTCATAATCTGACGAATGTACTTTATACATAAGCATTTAAATGAATTCGTATTGTATATTTAAATTTATTTTTTGTGTCTTCTCGAATGAGGGGATGGATGACAAATAAAATCATGAACAAAACAGATGACCATGTCAATTTGTTAATCAGAATTTGATATTTTATGGATTTAGTTTATTTTATTTCACAAGCTTTTACATTTACTAGTAAATTTAAAACTTTTTCCGATGTTTACTTTACATTATTTTTGAAAGCGTTTTATTGACACCAAAACATGATGATTTATTATGCATTTACATACCTATACAATGCCCGGTTTTGCTACATTCTAGCATGTCACGTGTGTTTAATATTTTTATTAAATGCTTGTTAACATAATTGTACAATTTGTTGACTGCCATGATTGTTCTGTAACAGACAAGCAATGAATGGCATAGGGATATTTTCGAGGATATTTGATAAATTTGCGTAGAAAATAGCTGAATAAATACATAATTTCAACATTCTTAAGGCAACTACATATTTATAGGATTTTTTGTTCGAACCAACTTTAAGGCCTGTTAATTTTCAAGAAAAAAGGTACACCAATAATTATAAATGTTGGCAAGGATTAATAGATATACATGTATATACTGGTGAATAATGCGTAATAGTTAAAACTAATAGTTAAGGATTTAAGAAATATCGAATAGATCTGCAAACGCCGAAAGTGCTGATGGAACATAATTAAAGATAAGACGTTTAATTAAGTGTTAAAATTGAGTACCGCTCAAACCGGTGCTAGGGAGCGTGAGGGATGTTGCATATTATTTCATAATCTCTCGTGTACAGACCCAATCAAACCGACTCTGCAAGTTTGATGTAATTTTGTTGTGATGAATGCTTCCGAGGAATCAACCTCTTTCCAGATCTTAAGAAAAAAGAATCATGAAAACATGTGAGAAGTTGAGAAACTGATAAAGTAGTTTAATTGATGTTATTGTCTGATTGGTCATGGGCTATGTCAAATATCCACATTTTTTTGAACAAATGAAGGGTCAATTTGTACGACCTGTATATACACTATTATATTACATAAAGTACATGTATATGTATTTGTTAAAATGATTTATTATGCCCCCATTTTGAAAAAAAGGGGGTATATTGCTTTGCACTTGTCGGTCCGTCGGTCCGTCGGTCCGTCGGTCCGTAGACCAAATGGTTTCCGAGTGATAACTAAAGAACCCTTAGGCCTAGGAACTTCAAACTTGGTATGGTGATTGGTCATGACCAGTAGATGACCCCTATTGATTTTGGGTCAAGGGGTCAAAGGTCAAGGTCACATTGACCTTGAAAGCAAAAACGGTTTCCGATCAATAACTAAAGAACCTTAAGGCCTAGGAACTTCAAAACTTGATATGGTGATTGGTCATGACCAGTAGATGACCTCTATTGATTTTGGGGTCAAGGGGTCAAAGGTCAAGGTCACATTGACCTTGAAAGCAAAAACGGTTTCCGATCAATAACTAAAGAACCTTAAGGCCTAGGAACTTCAAACTTGGTATGGTGATTGTCATGACCAGTAGATGACCCCTATTGATTTTGGGGTCAAGGGGTCAAAGTCAAGGTCACATTGACCTTGAAAGCAAAAACGGTTTCTGATTCAATAACTAAAGAACCTTAAGGCCTAGGAACTTCAAACTTGGTATGGTGATTGGTCATGACCAGTAGATGACCCCTATTGATTTGGGGTCAAGGGTCAAAGGTCAAGTCACATTGACCTTAAAAGCAAAAACGGTTTCCAATCAATAACTAAAGAACCTTAAGGCCTAGGAACTTCAAACTTGGTATGGTGATTGGTCATGATCAATAGATGACCCCTATTGATTTTGGGGTCAAGGGGTCAAAGGTCAAGGTCACATTGACCTTAAAAGCAAAAACGGTTTCCAATCAATAACTAAAGAACCTTAAGGCCTAGGAAACTTCAAACTTGGTATGGTGATTGGTCATGATCAATAGATGACCCCTATTGATTTTGGGGTCAAGGGGTCAAAGGTCAAGGTCACATTGACCTTGAAAGCAAAAACGGTTTCCGATCAATAACTAAAGAACCTTAAGGCCTAGGAACTTCAAACTTGGTATGGTGATTGGTCATGACCAGTAGATGACCCCTATTGATTTTGGAGTCAAGGGTCAAAGGTCAAGGTCACATTGACCTTGAAAGCAAAAAACAGTTTCCGATCAATAACTAAAAGAACTTAAGGCCTAGGAACTTCAAACTTGGTATGGTGATTAGTCATGACCAGTAGATGACCCCTATGATTTTGGGGTCAAGGGTCAAAGGTCAAGGTCACATTGACCTTAAAAGCAAAAACGGTTTCCGATCAATAACTAAAGAACCTTAAGGCCTAGGAACTTCAAACTTGGTATGGTGATTGGTCATGATCAGTAGATGACCCCTATTGATTTTGGGGTCAAGGGTCAAAGGTCAAGGTCACATTGACCTTGTAGGTAAAAAACGGTTTCCGATCAATACCTAAAGAACCTTAAGGCTTAGGAACATCAAACTTGGTATGGTGATTGGTCATGATCAGTAGATGACCCCTATCGATTTTGGGGTCAAGGGGTCAAAGGTCAAGGTCACATTGACCTTGTAGGTAAAACGGTTTTCCGATCAATAACTAAAGAACCTTAAGGCCTAGGAACTTCAAACTTGGTATGGTGATTGGTCATGATCAGTAGATGACCTGTAATAGATTTTGGGGTCAAGGGGTCAAAGGTCAAGGTTACATTGACCTTTTAATTTAAAAAACGGTTTTCTGAGCAATAACAAAAGAACCCTTAGGCCTAGGAACTTCAAACTTGGTATGGTGATTGGTTATGACCAATCAGATGACCCCTTTGATTTTGGCGTTAAGGGGTCAAAGGTCAAGGTCACATTGACCTTGTAGGTAAAAACGGTTTCCGATCAATAATGAAAAGAACCCTTAGGCCTAGGGACTTCAAACTTGAGATGGGTGATTGTCATTGATCAGTAGATGACCCCTATTGATTTTGGGGTCTAGGGGTCAAGGTCAAGGTCACATTGACCTCTTAGGTAAAAACCGGTTTCCGATCAATAACTAAAGAACCCTTAGGGCCCTAGGTACTTTCAAACTTGGTATGGTGATTGGTCATACCAAGCAGATGACCCCTATTGATTTTGGGTTAAGGGGTTAAAGGGCAAGGTCAGCATTGACCTTGTAGGTAAAAATGCTTTCCGATCAAAACTTAAGAACCCTTATGCTTAGGAGCATTCAAACTTGGTATGGTTGATTGGTCATGTACCCAGCAGATGACTATTTAGATTTTGGGGTCAAAGGTCAAAGTCACATTGACGCTTTGTAGGTAAAACAATGGTTTCCGATCAATTTACTAAAAAACGCTTAGGCCTAGGAACTTCAAACTTGTGTGATGATTGGTCATGACCAGCAGATGACCCCTATTGAGTTTTAGGTGAAGGGGTCAAAGGTTCAAGGTCACATTGACCTTTTAAGTAAAAACGGTTTCTGATCAATAACTCAAGACGCTTAGGCCTAGGAACTTCAAACTTGGTATGGTGATTTGTCATGACCAGCAGATTACTCCTATTGATTTTGGGATCAAGGGGTCAAAGGTCAAGGTTCAAAATGACCTTGTAAGTAAAAAACAGTTTTCTGATCAAATAACTAAAGAACGGCTTTCGGGCCTAGAAACTTCAAACTTGGCATTGTGATTGGTCATGACCAGCAGATGACCCCTATTGCATTTTGGGGTCAAAGGTCAAGGTCACATTGAACCTTGTATGTTTAAAAACGGTTTCCGATCAATAATAAGAGAACCCTTAGGCCTAAGAACTTCAAAACTTGGCATGGTGATTGGTCATGACCAGCAGATGACCCCTATTGATTTGGGTCAAGGGGTCAAAGGTCAAGGTCACATTGACCTTGTAGGTAAAAAAACGGTTTCTGATCAATTTAGACTAAAACGCCTAGGCTAGAACTTCAAACTTTGTATGATGATTGGTCATGACCAGCAGATGACCCCTGTTGAGTTTGGGTCAAGGGTCAAAGGTCAAGGTCATGACCAGTAGATACTTTATAACCCTTATAATTGTTTGATCACTGGTCAGAAGTCATGCATAATAACCTTATCACATGACTAATTGGCTGCTGATAGGGGGCATACATGTTTTACAAACATATCTTGTTTCATATTGTGTTTATTTTGATTGACCTTTTTGGGTTTTGAAGAGTGAAATAGCATTTTGCTTGTTTCCTTTTTTATCATTCCCTTGATTGCGACTATAACAATATGCTCGTGCGACCAGTGCAGACCAAGAACAGGAGCACACACGTGCTGTCTGATCATGGTCTGCACTGTTTGCTAGTCAGTCAATACTTATTGTCAAATTTTCTCTAAATTAATTTACGGTTTAATTCAAATTGAACGATGGACAAGATAACTTAAGACATTAAGCTTGGTAAAGATTAAAAAAGCATCAATTTAATTGTAAAGTAGGTATTGATAAATTATCAAAATTACTTCCGGTGTCTCTTCCAGTTATAACTGATAGCAGATTGTCAAATAACAAAGATAATGACTCCCAAGAAGGGTTCGAACTCACAATTCCTAGTTAACGTAACAAACCTTAGTTATAAAGCCAGCGTTTCTTGGGTTTTGAACTTAAAGTTAAGCCGCCTATTTGAATAATTAAATAAGAATGTTAAGCTTTTACCACGGCTTTCTATTAATCAGTTTAAACCGTATATTTTGAAAATCTATAATATGTTAATGAATCTCTTTCTTGTTTTCTACATCAAATTTAGATGAATTACACAAAAGAAGACTTTTAAGAATGAAACAAGCAAAATGCTGCTTGACAAAACAAATGGTCATAATTTCTGTATGAAATGCAAAATGTTTTTTTTTTCTACAAAATGTTTATCTATGTTATATATGACAAGCTTGTCAGCCGCTTATGATGTTCATTTTACTGGGTAAGAAAATAGTATCAACAAAAAACGAAATAAAAATATTATTTTAAATTTTCACTTTTTTCTTCTTGTTTTTATCCATATGTAGTGATGACTTCTAATCCAGTTACCTCTCTGGCGTGGGTTCGATCCCCGGGAGATGCTTTGATAGTTTAGCGCGGAGGAAGGTAGTCTAGTACTGGTGTTACTCTCCAGGAACGATGGTTAGGAAACTACCCGCCTATATGACTGAAATACTGTTGGGAAAAGGCGTAAAGTCAAACAAACAAACAAACAAATATATACTCGTCATTCTGTTCAAATTTGTTTACATGCGCCATTTTATCATATTTCTTTACACGCGTAATTTCATTCAAATTTGTTTCAATTCGCCAATTTGTTCAAACTTTTTTACATGCACATTTGTATTCAAATTTTGTTTACATGCACAATTTTGGTCAAATTTGTTTATACGCCAATTTGTTCAAATTTATCCGCAAATGTA